GTGAGGGCAGAGGCCTAAAGGCTCGGTGGGTTTGATGGGGTCCTGTTCTGCTGGCAGGAAGGAGACTTTGAGCAAACAGTGGGTGACAAGCACCATGAGCTTGCTTTTCGTCCTGTGTGTTGGGTCTGTGCCAGAGCTGCATCACAGGCTGGGTGAACGGAACCAGATGGCAAATGCGCAGCCTGGGCACAGTGCCTGTCACCCAGGAGCTGGTTCACAATAGTCCCTCTTAGGCCGTTGCCCTTTGAGGCTCGATTTGTGTGATGTGCGACTGAGGAAGGAGCCAGGGATTGAATGAATGCGTGAAAGTTCATCTCAGAGCCGGTGTGTCCACCGAGGGTGTGAGGGCGCCCTGGGACCTCCCCGGACCCTATGGTGGCGGTGTGGGTGTGGACACCAGGCATGTGCATGCAGAACAGGTCCCACATGGACCCGGTGCGCCCCAGGGTTGTGTCTGGCAGCAGACTGAGTTGGGGTGGGCGGGGAGGTCTTCACCTCTCCCCTGCTTCCACTCGTTCCCTAGCCCCTCAAGAAAGAGTGGTTCTTAGGGGCAGGTTGGCTCTGTGCCAGCCAGCGCCTCTCCCCCGGGAAGGGGGGCTGTGGAGGAGTGTCAGCAGGGAAGCTTCTGGGCCTGTGTTGGATGAACCAGGCGCTGGCCGACCGGCTGGTGGTGCCTGTTGAGTCCTCACACAGACCCCCATGTGGAACTCCCACCGTCAGCAGAGGGCTGGCAGCCCATAGACACTGGGTGCTGGGGCCACCGCCAAAGCAGTGAGCCCTGGTCTTCAGGGCATCCCTGTCTGAGCCACAGGTTTCCAAGCTCATTTGTCCTACAACCCCTTTCCAGAAAAAAACATTTACTCAGCGCCCTCCACTAATCATGAAGAGTAGCTCTGCAGCGCCGCCCCCCCCCACCCCCCGGGGTGTTCTCCCCAAATTTGGGACGCGGTGGTAGGTCCAGCCAGCCCCGACTGCCTGAGAGACACACAGGAGGCCGCCAGGCTCCGGTCTCCCAGCGCTCCTGGCTGGGAAAGCCTGTGTTCTCCCGGTGTGTCCTGGCAAGCCGAGCTGCAACCCAGGAAGACCGTCCCTCACAAGAGAGGCCTGACAATCTCCCCAAAAGAACAGCCACTGAAAGCCCTGAGGCACAGACCCCTCTGCGGCGGGGGGTGGGGGTGAGGGGTGTCGGTGGTTGGTTTTCTGAGCATGAATGTGTTATGTACACAGTCCATCGGCCCTGTGCTTACAGGACACAGCCAGCCCCATGAGCTGCAGGCCGACAGCTCTGAGGAGGCGTCTGGCACCGAGGAGGAGGAGGAGCCCAGCTTCGTCATGAAGCGATGACCCCATCTGCCTGCCGCAGCAGCTGTCCGGAGCCTGGTCATCCTGTGACCCGGGCCTCAGGAACCCTCCGTGTGTCCAGAAGGCAGCAGACGCAATGTTGGACCTCAGCTCCCCCATCCCATCCTCACCCCAAGGACTGTCGAGGTAGAGCTCAGGCACACAGGGCCCTCCCCTTGAGCCTTGGGCGGTGGAGGAGTGGGCTGCCCTGGCCCTGACACAGTGAGGCCTTGGGGTGGTTTCTCTGAAGCCCAGAAAGCCTCCAGGTGCCATGAGGGCCTGGGACACGCGCATTCCCTAAAGCTGCGGGGAAGGTGCGGGAGTTCCTGTGGGTAGCCCAAACTCGGGGAGGAAAAGCTAACCACAGTGTGGGACACGTGACAGGGCTTTGCGGAGCAGATGGGAGGACTGGAAAAGGCAGCAGGCGAGAGCAGAACGAGGTGGGGGGAGCTGGGCACCGGAGGGGAGGGACATGGAGTGAGCCAGAAGCAGATGTCGGGGGATCTACAAACAGAGGCCTGAAGAGGCATGAGCTGGCCTGTAGATGGGACTGCTGGGACGAAAGCCCTTCAGAACTGGCCCTCCCAG